CCGAGGGTGCGCGAGAATCGCGCTCAACGAGGCCCCTCTCCTCGGCAAAATCAAGGATGATGCTGACAGGGTGCGTCAATGGTGTCCGGGGGCGGTCCAGGAGAATGGGTTGTGCCCAAGTCTTAGGGTTGTTCTTATAACCTCCCCCGGGCTTGGCTTGGCCTTGCCGAGGGCGGTTGTCAGAGGGCCCTGAAGCCTTGGGCTGATTTGGAGGAGCCCCCGGCCCCCGGTTGTTCTTGTTGTCAGCCCTCGGGGGTTGCTGATTTGGATGCTGGTGGTACTTTTCCACCTCCTCGGCCTCGGCATATCGGTCCCCCCGCTGCAGGGCCCTTATGTAGTCGCGGGGGGGGGGGGGGGTTCAATGATGAGGCTCCTTGAAAAGTTGCCGGTGCGGAGGACAGTTTGTAGGAGGGCCAGGAGGGTCCCGTCGTCAGCACCGTCGACTTTGTCGGCTTCCGTTCTCCAGCGTTCCAAGAAGTCCCGAAGGGTCTCATCCCTCTTCTGGCGTATGGTTATGAGGTGGGAGAAGTGATTCCTCATGCGACGCCTCCCGGCAAATTGCGTCAAGAACCGCTGGGCGAGTTCTTGCCACGAATCAATGCAGCCTTCGGGCAACCGGTTGAACCATTCGTATGCCGGCCCCTCTAAGGTGGAGAGGAACCAACGACACAAATATTCGTCCGACACCCCTACCATCATCATGTTGTTCTGATATTTGCTGTAGTGTTCCTGGGGGTCTGTCTTCCCGTTGTAGGGCTGTATGTGTTGCCCTCGGTATTTTCCCGGGATCCGGGCCGCCAATACCCTTGTGGTAAATGGCGTCCGGGTCCGGAGCTGGATGATGGGTTCCCCGGAGCCCTCGGCTACCTTCTTGTGCAATTCCTCCATTTTGGCCATCATGGCCTCGTATTTGAGGTCTGAATGAGGGGTGGAGGTGGTGGCGTGAGCTTTGTTGGCCTCCATTTCATCAAGTCGGCGTTGGAGGGCCGCAATAATTTTGTCCCGGGGGTCCTTCGGGAGGGTCTCCGCCCCCTGCGAGCGAACCCGGGCCGAGTGGGCCTGGTTGATTTGGTGGCGGGCATCGTCAGCATGAAGGGGTGCCTTGCCTTTGTCCCGAGGGGGACGCTCCTCGTCTGCCCTCGAGACAGACCCTCCGCTCTCCTGGGACCTCTGGAGTGCCTTTCCTCCGAGGCGGTCTTGGACCCCTCGGCGATCTTGCCCTCCTCCGAGCCGGTTGAAGGCGGAAGTGCGGGACCTTTCTCTGTTGTCATTGTGGCGGTCCCGGGACTGCACTTCCTGGGAGGTCGTATCTTGGGCCACTACCCCTTCGTCATTCCTAATCCGATGGATGGGGTTTCCGAAGGGGTGTGGCAGAGGGGGAAGTATGATGTTCTCCCCAACCTGGGGTTGAGCCGGAGCCAGGGTGCCGAAGGCACCTGGGTTCTGAGTGAGTGTCTGGATGAAGGCGGAGAGCGCTGAATGAACGTCGATGGTGAGGACCGGAGGGCTGACTTGGTCGTCGCTCCGATTCTTCTTCTTGGCCTCGATGCTGAGGCGGGCATCGGGAGCATTCTGCTGGATCTGAAGGCGTAGGTCGACAGCCGCCTGTTCCAGCCCAGCGATGACACCGCCCTCGGGAGCCCTGTGAGAGGCTTCGGGGGCGTTGACGTCGCCGAGGGCCAGGTTCTTGTCTTCTACGTTTTTGGAGTTGGCACGTGTAGTTCTCACCATTTTGGTAGAGGGCTGGTGTTTGGCGAAGGGGGAGGGTTTCTTACTTGATTGTTCGACCTCTCAATGAAAGCACCAAATGATGGATAGTGTACCCGGGGGGTAGCTTATCCGAGGGGTTATTACGGGGAGTAATAAGGGAGAAGTCAGAGCAAGTAAATATATAGAGAGAAAGTATATTATAAAGTGTGGAGCGTTTTCAGCGTGGTTACAAATGGGGAAATGGGGTGCTATTTATAGTAGCAATAAATTCCGGACAGGGACACGTGTCAAGCGCCCATTGGCCGAGAGGTCACCTCAACTGGTTGGCGCCGGCAGCCGCATGTGGCCGCATTTAATGCGGCTGTTGGATGGGACTTTTGTACAGGGTACGGTGATCTGTACGCATGTGGTGCGGATATCATGTCGGGAAAGGTGCCCTCGGCTGTATTGGACTAACCGAGGGCTCTGAGTACTGGGGACCCTTTTGGTGCTGAGGGCTCCAGGTGCCGAGGGCTAGTGATTTTCGCCGTTTTCCCCAGTCATCCATTTTTCCTGTTTTGGCCCTCCTGTGGGAGTTAGAGCCCTCGGCCAGGGGGGCGAAGGCGCCCCCGGTGCGCATTGTGGGCTGCTTGGTACTCTGGGCGCTGTGATTTGGGCCTGTTGGGTCTTCTGGGCCTGTTGGACCTTGTTTGGAGTAGTAGGAGTCTGTGGGCCGGGGGTTCCCGGGCCATATACTCCATCACTGCGAGAAGCACCAGATCTTCAAAGGTTTTGGCGGACCTGAGTGCTCCAGCCCGCCTCTTCCCTATTTTTTGTTCCATCCAGAGTCATGACATCCTCCTCTGAGTGCTCTTGTTCATGTGCATCCCAGATGCTCTCCTCTTTTGTTCCCCTGGTCCGCTGCTATTTGTTCTTGCTTCCTTGTTCTTTGATGCTTCCCCTCCTCCCTGAATCTCACCCATCGTGTAGCTTTGGCCTTGTTCTTGGTTTTCTTTAAGGCTATTTTGCATCCCCGTTGAGCCTCTTTCTGCCCTCTCCTTTGTTCACAAGCCATTTATTACTGATAGAAGGGCGAGGTCTCCCTCCACCCGCCCACAACCACGGTCCAAAAGATTTCACAATAGCTTTATCCCCTTTTCATACAATAAGGGGCAGAACTTTTCAGCATGCCCATGACTCCACAGGCAAAACAAAAATTGGGGAGTTTCTCGTACTTGAAATCAACCCGGTACTCTTCCCTTTTGCTCTTTTTCAAAGATGTTCCCACCTTCAAGGGTTTCCTCACATCCAACATCACCCTAACCCTCATATAGGCTTCTCATTTCTCATCGAATTGTTTATCATCCCAGGAAATAAATTTCCCAGATGATTCCCAATTTTACGAGCATATCCAAGATTCGAATAACCATAGGGGGTGTTGTGTACCTGTACACAAAAATCAGGTGTTTCTAAAGGGACTTTTAGAGGCATACCCCCTGCTTAATGGCTTTTAATACCAACAGGTTTTGGTCAAACAACCATGGTTCGTTTTCCAACACACGATTCATATCAACTACATGATAAAATGTAAACAAACACATCTTCTCGCCGATCTCCTGAATCAGCACTCCTTTGCCCGGACGCCACAGAGCCACCATCAGATCACAAAAAATTTGAAATTTCACCACTTTATCCGTGAGAATCGTACTAACCACTCAGTAGGTGTTCACCTCTCTATCCGCCACACCGAAGTCAAGCTCCGATTCCTCATCGTCATCCAGCAATAACTCATCTGTCGTGTGACCCAATCCCATCCCGTCATATTGGTCAATCAGCTTCTCCACGCTACCCGCACTCATCGCCACAGGGGACTCCAATTCCTCGCCTTGGTGAACGCCGATCGTCTGCGAGTTGGATCCGCCTATCTCCATGTCGTTCGTCTGCGAGATTGAATCTCTTGTCTCTACACCATCATCCGTTCATCTGCTAGCCTTGTCGCACTACATCGACGGAAATCTCTAAACCCTACGCAGAGGGAGAGTCCGCTTTTTGTTGGAATTTATGATACTCGTTTGTTTCTCATTTCTGCATCTCGTTATCATTTTTTTAAATTCTGATTTTTTATTATTAAGTTTATCATTTTGGATTAGAACATGTTAGAACAGCTTCAGTGCTACAATGTGCACGGTGCACATGTGGCACGAGAGATAGTCACATAAATATTAGTAAATAAATCATTTTTCTTCTTATTTAAATGGTTTTATACAATTTTGATAAATTTCTCTCTACAATATCAAGAAGGCCGTCTACATATAGACATTGTGGTTGACATTGTTCAGAAAAACTTACCAAAATTTTATAAACTCATTCAAATAAAGATTGAGATTATTTATTTATCAATATTTATGTGATTATCTCTCATGTCACATGTGCATCGTGCACATTATTGCATTGAAGATGCTCTTAAAATATATTCATGGTTAAGTTGTTTGGATTAATTATTGCTATTGGACTTTGTTAGTATTGTACTATTGTGTGAAATGCTATAAGTCATTTGTATTTGATTATTTCAACTGAAAAACAAGTTTAAAATAATTCACCGACCCTGCTCGAAACTAATTAGAACCCAAGAGATTAAAACCCATCCCAAATGTATCCAACCTTGAGATGTTTTTACGTCAACTTATGTCAATTTCATATCAGATCAAACCGGACTTTGACAATTGTAAAATACACAAAGATCGGACATTTACTGGATTAGTTCATACCAAAATAAGATCAGACATTTACTAGATTAGTTCATACCGAAATTGTTGTGTTTATTTTTATGTACATTATAATTTTTGAAATATGATTTTGTTATTTTAAATTTTTAATAATGAGAAAATTGATGCTTGTTCATTTGACTGACTTTTAGAATGAAAATATATCAGCATAAACACGACACTTTCAATCGTACACTAATGTACAGTTTTGAAAATACACAAGAAATTTTTCTCGACCAACATTTTTGATATTATAGATCCGTTATTTTTAATATTTGATGACTAATTTGTAATTTAAAAGTGCTAATTACATAAACACAACAATTTCGATCGTACAATAATGTAGAGTTTTGAAATTATTCAAACAACAAAAACATGTGAGCGATGATTTAGAAGTTGGAGAAAAAAATCTTGTGCAAGAAAGTTGAAACCGTGGATAAAAATATGTCTTTATATTTGGTTGTTTTTAGTATGACGTACTAAATATGGGTATAACATAGATATTTTACTTAATGCAAGTAAAATGCTACACTCTCTAAAATAGAAGTAAAAATGTATTGATGGGCAAAATACTCTTACTAATACAATTTGATCTTTATAAAAAACCGAAAAAACAAAACTCAACTGCCAGCATACTCAGGTGTCCGCCGCCGGGCTACGGGCGTATAATGCCATACTAGATCAAGGCACACTAGTATACTACCATCCTAGATTCTGATGGCAAAATGTTGCAGTAAGTAAACAAAATGCTGCCGACTTGAAATGGTATTGTCATCCTAGACTCAGACAACACCCGGCCAAGTAGTGTCATTCTAAAATGATACTACCCCTCTGCAAAATGATATTAATTTTCGTAATAATACTGCCATAGTGAAGTAGAACACCTATGTTGAAGTCTTATTTAGGGTAATTTCGATTGTTTTAATGCTAGGAACAATGTCCAGAATCGGATTACAACCAACTTAATTAAATTAATTAATTATATCACGATTTTTGGAATCAAACCAATTTCAATTGGACCAAAATTAGACACAATTGATATTACACAGGTCTGGTGCTAACAAACAATCCCTGGACATTTTGAGCCGCAGACAAAAAAAATGGCATACTAATCAGAAACTCATTAACCTTTGCACCGGAATGTACACAGATGACTTCCAAAGTGTGAAATAACATCTACTAATGCACCATAGCCAGCCACAGCTGTGACCTGAAGAAAGTGATAGGAACAGCTTTTTGAGCATTTGCTTTTATCTATGAAATAACAAGAGAACATCAAGATCAATTATTTGGAATTTTTACCCCAGAAGGATGTAACGAGATTGAGAATGTAGATTCAGGAGCGCATTGAATCTGTGAAATAATCTCCCCACTCATACTGAACCGGCTGAGTATAGGTTCCGATCCTACTGTCAAAATCTAACACATAACCAAAACCCTTCAGCAAGAAAGAATTTAAGGGCTACTAGCTAACAAGTATATACTAGCTTGAACTGAAGGGAGAGCGCAGATACATTTGCAGAAGCTAGCTCTTGAACAAAAGGAACCAACAAGGAAGACAGCCTCAATCAGGTTTCATTTAAACCACATGCAAATGTTACAAAGAATTTGAAAATTGTATATTTATTTAATAACCAGCCATTCATTTATACAGAGTATTCATTGCAGAGCATTTTTTTAAACAAAAACTCATGTTTTAAATTATATAGAATCATTAAAAAGTAACCACATTAAAGTTCCTAGTTTTACTTGTGCTGTTTATAATGTGTCTAATGTTTTGCTTTTGACATCCAAGTCTGCCCTTGTGATATGTGGTTGAGAATAAGAGTGGCAACTGGAAATATTAAATGAGGGTAGTAAAGTAAAGTAAAGTAAAGAAAGGTAACTTTAATTAAGGAGGTTCACTACTCGTATGTATCTATATTTTGTGTAATGTCAGCTATTCAACGAATGGTCCAATACTCAGATGTACTTCAGGTTATTTCAGGGCTCTGGATTAATCTTCATGTGACTGACGCGGTTAAGCTACAGGTCATTTCAGGGTTATAATTTTTATTATATACGTAATATATATTTACATATACACACACATATATACATACATATATACTCCCTCCGTCCCATAAAATTCTTCCCACTTTCCTTTTTGGGCCGTCCCAAAATATTCTTCCCACTTGCCATTTTTGGACAATTTGTGTGGTTCACATTCATTTCACCTTTTTCTTACACAATCACAACCATACATTTCCACTTTATTCCACTTTCTTAATCTCCGTGTCAAATCAAAGTGGGAAGAATTTTATGGGACGGAGGTAGTACATGTTATTAATTACTTGATCCGGACTCCAATGAAAAAGTTGAGAAGTAAAATAAAAAAGTAAGCATACTAACTTGATGGTCATCAAATATAACATCTTGAGTAGCAAAATGTGTTCCTATCTTTGATATGCAATGACAAGCAGGAAGGTTCCAAAGCGACAAAGATGGCCCACTTCCAAATGCCTATTTGAGTAAGACAAACCAACGCTCATATATTATAGTTATTTGCAAGAAACTCTACAAACTCCATAAAAGGTTAAAAGGAAAAGTCATACATTTTTTTAACCCGGTAGGCAAACCACCAAAATCAGTGGGGCAAATGCCGTGGAACATTTGTCGGTGCTTTATTAAAATAAAAAAATGGTTATTAAAATAAAAAAAGGAAAAAAGTCATACCAGCCAGCTCTCACTTGCATCAAGAGCAATACAACTAATGTATGGAAAAGTTTCTTTATTCGCCTTATCTTTCTCCTGTTCAATTATTTGCACACACTTTCCACTTTTGCAATCTACAGTCAGAAATTGCATGCAATTCCATAAATAAAAGGAGCAACTGCTATTTGCCTAAATGGCATCAAGATATGGAGTTATGATGCCTAAAAGGCTAAGATTTACCCCATATTCGCACTGTTCCATCTTCTGAACCAGTTAATACCTGAAAAATAGAAAGTCAAATTTACCGAGTGCTCTTTTGGTGTGGAGTCCCAGCAAAGGAAAATTTCAACTTCCAGTATCAATGAAAAAAATTCTGTTCACCTGGTCATGAGAATTGCGCGCAGTAATGCAATGCAGATAGTCAGAGTGCCCCTTAAATACCATTTTAATTACACTTCTCTCCTGATAATCATAATAAATAAGACAGGTAAGACGATGTAATTTTGTAAGATGATAAAAGTATAAACATAGGGAAGTACAGAAGGTTTGAAAAAAAGATCATACAAGCTAGTAAAAAGTAAAACTTATAAGGGTTAGTTACACTTGCCTTTCAAAAAGGTTGGTCAAATTACCCAAGGGATAAGGGTCAAATTGGACTGGTTGTTTGAAAATCGCATATTGGACACTAAAGTTTCAAATGGACCAAATTGGACACGATGGGTTACTCGTGTGTCTCATATCGGACATTAAAGTTTCAAATTGATCAAATTTTACGTTTTTCTGATCATTTTCGAACACCCATCAAAGATTTTCACCTTGAAAGATATAAGTATTCCTTTTTCTCTTGGTTTTATGTACCTAAAAAATAAATACTCCGTATAACTTAATTTGTGTATTTAGATTTAGAATATATAATTAGATGCTCCAATTAAGAAAATCTATTATAATGTAATTGAATTCTTAAATATTTTTAAATCAATTTAACAAATCGATATTTCTTAAAGTTCCATAAAAATCATATGAATGAAAAGTCCTAAATATATTTTTAAATTGTTAAAAATAAGAAGTTATTAATTAAAATAATATTATATATTCTAAAACTTCAAATTAAATATTCCAAAATTATATACATAATTAAATTGGTTTACTTTCACCAAAAAGGAAAGGAAATGTAAGACTAACGATTTTTATTAAGGGAAGAAGAGAATCATAAGTGAGTGTCCAAAAACTACGAATTATGAAATTTCAGTATCCAATATGAGATGCATATGTAACCATAGTATCCAATTTGGTCTATTTAAAACCTTAGTGTCCAATATGAGATTCTCATGAAACCATAGTGTCCAATTTGAGTCTTATCCCATTACCCAATGACCCTCGAGTTTCTAAAAATGGCAAATTAGTACTCCCTTGATTAGTCAAATGTATCACAACCAAGATGAAATGATATAATGATATTATTAGTAGGAAACATATTTTTGGACTAAATTACTGCTAATATGATAGGGACCTAGATAGTACTAGTAATAAGAATAATATTAGTCTTTTAATAGTGTACAATAAAAGGGGTTTAGGCCATGAATTAAATAGCAGTGGGCTAGCCCAAATGGAAAAGAATAAATAGGAGTTGGGGGAATTATTTAATATACTCTATTATTATTATACTAATCAGTTCCTATCATAATATTTTTCTAGAAACTTATTTTTACTTAAGCTTCAAATACATTAGATGATAAAATGCATCAAAACACTAAATTTTATGTGAAGGCACACAATTCTTGATAATATTATTTTAGGGGTATATTCTAACTTATTTTCATGTGATTCATGTGAAGATGGTCATTTGTTGAAGGTCTTATTGGTCAAGGGGCAGCATTTGTAGTTTCATAAACTCTGATGGTCAATCGGCAATTTGACCAACCTCCAGGTAGGATGATGTAATCAACCCAAGCCTTGACAGTTTAACATGTCACCTTGAACAGATACACATACCAAATCCCAGCAATATGCACATGAATCACCAGCAGCGGCAAATACTGATCCATTCTGCGAATAAAAACAGAAATGCATGCCACATCAATCACTGGAGAGCAATGAGCATGGAAACGTTAAAATAGGTGAATGTTGCTCACTTGCTCTTACAGTAATTAATTTTCATCCAGCAAGAAATTAAGCCTTTTTGGTTTGAAATGGAGTCAAGGAAGTATTCAGAATAAAATGCCATAAAGATGTCATAGGCATGCCATTGATGAACATAAAACTGCTTGTTGCACATTGACAGTCTAGTATTAGTTTTTAGAGATGTATAGTAGAACTTCAAACCTGGGGATTAACAGCGATAGCATTGTTCTCTGGGATTGGTGAAAGTGAGCCCCATGGACCCCTAAGATGTGAAGAATAGATTTAAAAAACACATAGTTAGATTGTGTCAATCGAAAGGTCATTTATTCTTGGTATGCACTACCCCCCTGTGCGTGTGCAAAAATGAAATACCGCTCCATCCAAAAAAATCATGTTTTCCGTCCAAAAAGAATCATGTTTTCATCGAGGGTACTATTATTTATTTTTAAAAAAGAACATCTATTGTAAACTATCAATCCTACTTCTTTTAAAACATGTTAACTTATTCAATTAAATTTGACATACTTAAACTCATTTGGGACATTTTTTTTGAAAATTACATTAAACATGGTGAAATTAACTTCTTCCGTTGAAATACTCCCTATGGTTCAAAATGTTCTTCCCACTTTCCTTTTAGGTCCGGCTGTCCCCAAAAGTTTTCTCATTTCCTTTTATAAAAATGTGTTATGTGATTCATATAATTCCCTCATTTTTAAATAAATCTCAACCACACACTTCCACTTCCTAAAAAGGGCACTAGCTGAACAATACAAACAAATTGGGACGGGGGGGTCAAATGCATAAATGGTACCTTAACTATTGGTAATGTTGCAATTCGGTACCTTAACCCTTAAAAGAATCAAAACGGTACCTTAACTATACATAAATGTTTCAATTTGAGATTTTATTCGAATTTCCGATCAAAAAATCATTCATACCATTCAAAATTCCATGTGTAGAGTCACCCTATGGTGATCATATGGATAAAACTAAGGTGAAGTAGACTTTACGCATAGAATTCTGGCCGCCACGCGTGTTTTTTTTGTCAGAAATTTGAATAAAATCTCAATATGAAACATTTATGTATAATTAAGGTACCGTTTTGATTCATTTAAGAGTTAAGGTACCAAAATACAACATTACCAATAGTTAAGGTACCATTTATGCATTTGACCCGACAGGGGGAGTAGTAAAGGGGGAGTAGTAAAGGGGGAGTAGTAATCTTTCTGGGGACAGAAACAGAAGTGTCGGAAAATGTACTGGCTTTAAATTGGTTTATTATCAAGAAAAATCATCCAGGTTATGTATACATAAATAAACATATGCACATAAATAATAAATAGGCTAAGAAATGGAAAATTGCATATCTTCCTTAACATAATACTCCCTCCGTCCTGTTGGAGTTGCCGATTGGCATGTTGAATAAGAAAATAAAAATAGTGTGGTTGAGATTTGTGCAAAGAAGAGGAATAATAAAAATCACAAATTTGTTACTTTAACTGGGGAAAATGGCAAAGCTTATAAACAAAAAGAAATTTGGCAAACTCCAATGGGACGGCGGTAGTATAACTTTAAATTTGTTGAGGAACTGACTTATGTTGAGGATTGATCAAGTCAATTACTGGCTTTGAATTGACTCCTGCAAACAATAATTAAAATGTTACTGTCAAGTGCCTGTTCCAATAATCAAATTTTAGGAAAAGGGGATGAGAGCTAACTAGAATAGTTTAAAACGTGGTATGAGTAAGTGAATAACTTCATGCAACTCAAATTACCTTGAGTAGATTTGTTTGATTCAGACATTTCGTTCCATTTCCATCCCCGAATTCGACCATCATCACCACAACTAACATAATAACATTTAATAGATTGGAATTACAGCACCACATGCCCATAAAAAATATAAATGAAACAGGAAGATGTTATACTTGAATGTGACTTCTCTTCTACTGGCACAGAACATGCATGTCTCCATATTAAATGACATTTCAAAACATGAATATAACAAAGCTCCTCTTTGTGGTGCTTGTGAAAAACTATATTAGCCTATCAAAATAAAAGACTCCTCAAAAGTCAAGACAAATCTCATTGAGAACATTAAAAAAAAGAAATTAGATATGCACTTCAGTTGCCATTTAACCACTTTTATAATTTATATAATGCTTACTACTCTTTTCTAGGGAATGGATTAGAAATGGGAGCTCAAGAATACCTTACATAAATGCCGACTTCGGGTATTACCTTAACAATATGGAATCCTCATTGTTGCTGTAAAAAGTGATGTCATAGGCAGGTCCATCATGCCCTTGAACCCTCCAATTAGGCTCTGCAAGTGGTGCTAATAACCTATACCAAAATCACTGTATTAAAGAAAAATCAAAAGAACCCCTGCCGTTGAATAAAATTTAGAATTCACCATCTTTGACTTGTAAAAACACCAGATTTCTCTCATTGATAGAACATTATAATATAATACAAACACAAGGTAAAAAAGATAAGAGCTTCCTCTAAATATTAGTAAAATTTAATTTAGGGACAAAATTGTGACTAAAGTTACTATGGGTAATACCATTATAGTCACTCCAATATAAAACGGAACATAATTATAGTCACCAATGTTATTGACATAGTCACCACGTATAAAAAGTCAAACTTTCCACTATCTTTATTTTAGTCATACATTAGTCACTATTTCAAAATATAAACGTTAAATAATAAAATATAATATTAAATTATATAAAACAAAGAGTAAAATGTAGGTAATTATATAAGCTTATACACTTTAAATTAGAAATTATAGTCAAATAGGAAAGATATAGTTTCATTATTATTATTAACACAAATGCATAATTACATGCATATGGTCAGACTCATGTATACCATCGGTTTCGTATCTAAATTAATAAATGTCCAAATATAAATGAGTGTGATAGAAATTACTGGTGTTCTTACGACTACTATTGTACAACTAATCAAATTACTATTCACCTGTGCATCAAGGTATGCTATAATAATAATAAAAAAGTACTCCATATTATTATATAAAAAAAACTATATTTAATTGCTATGTAATTTGAAGTGAATAAAAACTCTAGTGAAAATCTTAATAAATTTTAAACCTTTTGATATTATTTATTTTGGTTATATTTAAATAATTAAAATTTTATGTTTTTACATTAATACTCCTTCCATCCCTGAAAATTCTTCGCACTTACCTTTTTGGGACGTCCCAAAACATTCTTCCCATTTCCGTTTTTATTTCCAATTTTGTAAAGTTTTATGTGACTACCCTTCATTTACCTTATTCTTACTCAACCACAATTATACATTTCCACTTTATTCTTACTTTCTTAAACTCTGATCTAAGCCAAACAAGGAAGAATTTTGTGGGAAGGAAAGAGTATAACGTTAATATATTATACTCCTTAATTTTTTATTAATGAGTAATAAGTAATTCGGTATTTTTGATACATCAAAGATTATCAATTTTAACTTCCTCTAGCTGCAGTGGGCTTTTGATTTTTCTTTAAACCTGGAATAGATAATTGTCTATAGTTTGGTCAATAAGGTTATATTTTCCCTAATCAAATCGACCAAGAAGAGGAAGGGAAAAAATGCAAACAAAAGTAGAGAAATTGAGCTTAAACATACCTCCCAGATTCGAAATTCTCACGATTCAAACACTGAGACGGAAATAAGTAAACAAGAAAAGACTGAGGATTCCAGAAAAACATAAATAGAAAAAAATTGTAATAACAAGGATAGATTAATTGCTTACGAGGAGGGAAGAGATGGAGTATGAGGCAATGGAGCCGTCGCTCGTGGCGGCGAATAGGTGGTCGGGAGTGGATTTGCAGCTTGAGTTAGGGCCAAAAGCTGTTCGGAATACGGTTCTGCACTGGGTTTCTCTCTCTTGAAGAACGGACTCTCTATAAGAGTCTTCGTTCCAGTTCCTACAATCCATCACCATTTTCGAGTTTTCAGTGAACGTGAGCAGGGGGACAAGTTCTAAATTGTTCGACCAGAGTGATGCAGCAAGAGCAACCTGCGACGTCGTTTATAACAAAATTTTCTATTGCTACGTGCAAATGGACCCTTTTAAAGGCGAGTAGTCTTGTCTCTCCTCACGCAGGTCTCATCAAACTAGTAGTTGAGTTTTTGCACTTTTAATCCTTGTGATGTTATGTCACTTATATTTTTTATTGGATTTTGATTATTTCCACTTTTAGTTATTTGACAATTGTGCAGAACACATTTTGGTATTTGTCATTGAAAAATTCCACATTTAATCTTTCGATTTTTATAATAGTGATATTTTTTGTCCTTCAACTGTTATAATAATGACATTTTTAATCTTTCACTTATTGTGACAAAATCACACTGAAAGGACTAAAAGTGTCAATTTGATAATACTCAGGGACTAAATGTGAAAAATTTTGAAGTCAATGACTAAAAGTGTATGTCGCACAATAGTCAATGACTAAAAATGGAACAATTTAAAATCGAGTACCAAAAGTATCGAGGGACTGAAAATGGGAAAAAATCTGGATCAGTTCGTATATCGTGGGAGCAGCTCACCGTTAGCATGCTTCTCTCACAGGCAAAACGCGTGTTACTTTTCACACGGGTGAACAATAACTTTTTTTTTTATTTTTTCATACTCCAGTAGCAGAATAATGTAACTCGTGATAAGAAATGTAACTGCAAACAATTGAAAATGTAACTTGTCTGATACGGATTATGAGAAATAAAACATTGATTTCAATCAAAATAAGGAGTCTAATTTTTCAATTATGTTACGTAAATAGTGAATATGTTTTTAAGGCCATAAATAATATCTTTTAAAATCGTGTTTTTGCCAAATGAATCATTTTTTTGGCAAAAAAATGATTTTTTGTTTTAATAGCAAGGACTTACTTAAATAGTGAATATATTCTAGTTTTAATATTGAGGCCATAAAAATATTTTTTTTTAAAATCACTTGTTTTGCCAAATAAATCATTATTTTGCCAAACAATATTTGTTTTTGCAAAAAATGATTCTTTTGTTTCAATAGCAGAACTTTATGTTGTAATGTAACTCGTGTTATGCAAAATGTAACTCACGTTGATGTAAAATCTAACTTAAGTATACGCAAAATGTAACTAGTTAAGGCAAGTCTAAATGTAACTCGTGTATAGGAAAAAATGTATAGGCAAAATAAAAAAATGTAAGTTTATATACTATTAAATGTAAACAATGAAAATAAGGAGTCTAATTGCTCAAATTAATTTATATAAATAATTAATATGTTTTATTTTTAGTATTAAGGCCATGAAAATGTTTCAAAGAAATATATTTTATTTTTGCCAAAAAAACTTTTTTTGCCAAAAAACTCATTCTTTTTGGCAGAAAAAATCATTTTTGTTTGCTAAAATTGAATTTTTTTTGTTCCAACAGCTGGAGCTTATTTTGTGATGTAACTCGTGTTATGAAAAATGTAACTCACGTTGATGAAAAGTCTGACTTAGGTGTATGTAAAATGTAAGTTGTTGAGGCAAATCCAAATGTAACTTGCACATATGAAGGCAACTCATGCACAAGACGATGTAACTCACCCATAAGAAGATTTAACTTCATATTATATCAAATGTAATTCCATTAATTGTCTATAAGCATAACTCGCACATATGAAAAATGTAATATAATTTCATTTTTTATGAAATTTAAATCGAAATAAACAAATTTAATGTCTCAAAAACACAAAAAAATGTATCAACGAGATAAGATTTTTTTACAAAGAGATAAGAAATATATTATAGAATTACATTATATAAGTCTCATCCCTCAGTCGCGTCCTACTTTCTTTTTAGGTTGTCCCAAATAAGTCTCATTTTGACTTTACCATTTGTAGTGGTAGAGAGGTCAAAATGTTAAAAATAGACTCCTTAAAGTGTTTAGATTTCTATTTTATGTCATTTCAGCACCGTAAATAAAATACATTTAATATATTCTTTACGTACCAATTTAATAATAATAATTATTATTATTATTATTATTATTATTATTATTAAGTAAAAAATACAAATTAAATAAGAAAATTTCATTTCAAATTTTTAACGTTTTTTCGTTTAACAAAAAATGAACTTAGTTCAAAGTTCGATTATGAAATATTTAGTTATTTGTGAAGACTCAATAAATTAATTAATACCTCACCACTCCAAATGTTCTTATGGAAAGAAATACGTGATCTATAATATTTCACTTTATTATACTCATAATTCAATCATAATTTTTACTTTTTCAATCATTTATTAATAATTGTGCTAAGTCAAAGTGAGACGCATAAAATGAAACAAAGGTGATATATAGACAGGACTATATAATTTTATAACAAAATTATAGTTTTATTCATAAAAATAGAACTTCCTATGGTTTTATTTAGGGGTGGGCATATAGGTTTGGTTTGATCGTGCCAAACTGAAATAAATCGAATCGAAATCAGACCATATGCAATTTGGTTTAAGTTTGATAGTATTTCTTCCGCAACATCCAAGTCTTAGTCTCAAAAGATATTGAGGTCGGCTAACATGAATCGATACATGATATCACCACCAAAGGAAAAAGAAAGAAAATAAAGATAAAAGATAAGCTATTATAAAAAGATAATACTACGTATATTACTAAACATAACAAATTCGAACCGAACCAAAATGGATCGATTCAAACTGAAAAATAGTATGATTTTTGTTTGGTAATAATTCTTTCAAATCGATTCAAACCGAAATCGACAAAAACAGAACTAAAATCCAATATGCCCAACCCTAATTTTATTGAAAGAAGGTGGCTTATATTAAATAATACTCCCCCCGTCTCTGAAAATACTTCCAACTTTCCCTTTTCGTCCGTCCCAAAAAGAACTTCCCTTTCCTTTTTTGGCAAAGAATTTGTGATTCTCAACATTTCTCTCTCCTCTGCACAACTCTGTCACAATTATGGGACAGAGTTAGTAATAAACAAAACTTGGGCAAGTAACAAAAAGGCAAAATGTCTCCTCTCAACAACTTTCATTCGAACAAGATAGAGTCAATCATGTTTCAAAAAGTAATATAACTCGTCAATCACCTTTCAAAAACCAACATCGCTCATCACGTTCCAAAAACCAATATGACTCGATGGTCCTATCATTATCATAATTGAACCAAAGGTGGTCAAAACATACCTTCCATCACTCAAGTCAAACTCCAAAGTCTCACAAAAGTAAAACAAAAACATAATCAAAGTAAAATTCTGACCAATGAAAAAAAAACACAAAACAAGTAGAATTAAACTGCTTCACCAGAGACACTTGAAGCTCGGTCTTTCTTTTCTAGAGAGAAGACTTTCCCCGAAATCCAGACGGGCCTGGTAACCAGCACCCACCGTCTCTCCATTTTTTGAAAAATGTTGGGTGTTTTTACATATATTTTAACTAATTTACCGATTCACATTTAAGTTGAAATGTTATGAACATATTCCAAACTTCATAAAGAACATCTTAACAAAATTTAATTAAAAGAATAATCTATAATGGCAAAATATATCGTGAGATCGACTCACCTTTCGTATGGTGTGCCGATCCCACTTTAACCAATTGCTTTTCTTTTGCTTTCCTTTCTTTATTTTTCTTTTCTTCTTTTTCTTCTCCTTTCCCATCAAACTAAAAAACTAAAAAAATAATTATAATTTTACTTTTCTTTATCTTCATTTATTATTAAATCATAATTGAATCTATTTCTTTATTCTTTATTGATACATATCTCAATCTAAATAAAACAATTATATTGCATTTCATATTCATACACTATTTTTATTTCTGCAATATTTTTTATATTCATACACTTTTTCTTTACCGAATTATTACCAATTTTTTTAATCCACATAAAATAAGTATATTGTATTTCATAATCATACATTTTTTTCTACTTTTTTTTATCTTCAACTGAAACTACAAATGGTAAAGTCAAAATGAGACTTATTTGGGACAACCTAAAAAGAAAGTAGGACAGCGACCGAGGGATAAGAAAATAGCGTGTTAAGGAAAGAACGTTACACTATTTTGTTTTTGTACAACACATATACAGAGTACATGCTATCCTACCACTGTAGTATACGTGAACTGAAAAACTACAAACATATATCATACTGCTGCACTCGGCCACCGCCCTAAATATTTACATTGTGTCCAAACTATAGAGATTTTGAAGCAAACCATATTACAATATCACACATAATAATAAATACATCATCCCGCCTTAGCTTGCCCATTTCTTGATTTTTCATTCATTCATTGCTGCGGGCCCTCCATTCTTCTCCACGCCTTCTTCTTCCCAGTAATGCACTTCCCATCAACGCTGCAGCAAAAGATTGTTAACCTCAAATAATAATATGAATAAATGCTGATTACAGTATTAATTAAGCTGCTGAATTTCAATGAGAAAATGAAAACTCTTTATTGTAGTTGTGTTAAATTGTAGTTGTTTATTTCATACCCATCCTGGGGGCCTGGCGATCAGATTCTCCAACTCGTGGACGATCTCGGAGTGTTGCTTAGCGGTCTCGGCCTCGTTGTTCTCATAGATCATGTCGTCCTCAACCAGCTTCTCCCACAGAATGAAATTCTCAGAGTTCATCTCGGGACTCCCGATTGCTCCTGCAAGATTATTGTTGTTGTTCTTGATGTTGCTACTATTATTATTCATCTTGTGTTGCTCCTGGACGGGGCTACTCGAATCCTCGGAAGAGAAGAGCGTCTGAATCTCAGATTGAAGCATCACCAATTCCTCTTGGGGGCCGGGTAGAGGATTAGTGCTGCTACTCATCGTCCCGTCAACCAATCTTCTCTTCTTCACCGCCCTCCCGCAGCCACCGCCAGCGTTCCTCTGCCTCATTTTCTCGGTGAAGTGCTGGACGAAGAAAGGGTTCTTGAAAGCTTTGACTACGAAGAAGACGATGTACTTGTGTCGGTTCTCTGTGCTCTCTAACCGCTCCTTGACCATCGCGAGATGGTTGTTCGTGGTCTCTTGCTGTTGCTTTAGCCTCATGATTTCCGTCCTCATCGCGTCTTGGTTGGTCCTGAGCTTGC